GTATTCATCCTTTTAATTTACAGGTTTTCCTTCCCTCAAATTCAAAAAAAACCAATGGCCTTCCAGCTAAAAAACTCAAAACATCCTGACCATATAAAATTACTGTCATCTTTTACAAACACCTTTAAAAGCTAGGAGAGAACAAAATGTATCACAGAAATAGACTTTCTTGAGCATGACCCAGTTACTTTGGTGAAAGCAGTTTCCTTTTGACAGAGTAAGGATCACTTCAAGAAAAATCACATGCTCTCAGGTTGCACTAAGTTTGGTACCAGATTTTCCACTGTGTGGTTGACAAACAGCTAAGAAAGGACTGTACAGAAGGGAGGTTCCTTTATGCAAATGCAGGAGTTTTGTTGTTTCCCAAACCATTTCACACATGTACTATGGAGGAGATAATTGAGAAGCTGGCTCATCAGTCCCCCCTGGTTACAGTTATGGTGCTTGTAAGCAGAAGATACTTTCAAAGGGTTACTAAATGCTAACCCCTTTTCTGAAAAGAGTCAGAGTCCAGGCACAATAGTAAATTCTTAAAGCAGATATACACCTGCAATAGGGAAAACTGAAGGGCATTTTTAATGCTGGATTATGCCCCTAAACAGAGTTAAGATTAAAAATTCCCATTTTTCCCACAGCTCTCTGTGGTTCTCTGCTTTGAAAAATGTGGCTGGGAAAGAGGTCTTAGTGCTCTGCCACTGCATTTGTATGACAACAAGCAGAGGAGCAGACCAAATAAAATAAGGGGAAAAAGGTACAAGATACTGAAAATTCAGTTTTACACATCTTAAAAGTTTCAACTCAAGCATTTAAATGTTCCCTAAGTGAGGATGGAGGGGAATGGCAGTATTGTTAATGTAGAACAGGATCAGATGTAGACAAAGTGAACAGATGTTGTATCTGTACCTATACATTTTGTATGTAGGCACTGTACTCACCACTCAGAGCAAAATAAGGTAATCTAAGGTGTGTGGAAAATGTTAACTCCTATTCTAAAGTGAGAATAAAATATGCTAAGGTGACATCTAGTTTTTAATGAAGACTATCTTGTAAATAATGCTAATGACAATGCCTATGAACCAATGGCCTCAAGCTCTAAAACAAGTCCACATGAGCAAATAAATGACACTACACTGGATCTGGCTGGGATGGAGTCAATTTCCTTCACAGCAGCACACACATTTTGGATTTTTGACCAAACCAGCACTGGAAACATGCCAGTGCTTTGGCTACTGCCGTGCAGCGCGTGCATAGCACCAAGGCCTTCTCTTCTTCCCCTACTCTGTTCCTCAGCAAGCAGGCAAGGGGTGGGCAAGAAGCTGGGAGGGGACAGAGCCAGGACATCTGACTCAAGCTGAGCAAAGGGATATTCTGTGCCATATAACCTCCTGCTCAGCAAGACAAACTGAGGGGGAGGGAGCTTTGGAGGAGACAGTCCCCAGGCAATGTCTGGCCATCACTCAGCTTGTGGGAGGTGGCAAGTGGCTGCCTTTGCATCGCATTCTTCTTCCTCTTTCCTTCAGTTCTTAGGCTGTCTTCATCTCAACCAGTAAGCTTTCTCAATTTGCTCTCATATTCTCTCTCCCATCCTGCTGGGGGAGGAGGGGAGCTGCAGGGCAAGTGGGTAAGCAGCTGTGTGGTGCTCAGCTGCTGGCTGGGGTGAACCCACCACAGCTATCAATACCCTGAGCTCTGTTAAACGGGGAATGAAGTTTAGTTCTAAAGATGTGGTACTGTGCATGTACCCACTTTAAAGGCTGGCTTCAACATTCCTTGCAAAGTGTCATTAAAAAAAGACCTTTGAAATTTTGTAAGACTTGTTCAGATCCTTTGTAAAGCTACTGTTCTAAAATATCTTTTTTTTTTTTTTAATTTTACCATAGTGCAAGTTTTGTTTGTTTTGGTTTTTGTTTGTTTGTTTGTTTGTTTTAAATACTGTACACCCTGCTTTTTGCTTAATTTAAAATTCCCCCGTTTTATATACCAAGAAACATGGTGGCGTTTGGGGTTTCTGGGGTTTTGTGGTGTTTTTCTTTGTTGTGGCTTTTTGAATAGCATGGGGTGGGGACTTAGTTGGTGGGATTTTGTGGTGGTATATTTGTTTGGTTTTGTTTTGTTTTAAATAATCAGCCAAGAAAGTCTCCTCAGTGTAGAAGATAGTCAAACCACCTTTCTAAGTAGGTTTCAGCAACAGCATGAGAAAGAAAATCCCTCTGTGTTACACAGGAGGAAATTAAATGTTAAAAAAAAAGTTGATGAAATTAAAGTCAAATCAGCACTGCTGTTTCCATGGCAGTGATAAATGTGCCATACACATATGCAAACTGCAATAAGAGCTCATATGCGATTTTCCCTACATGGGACAAATCATTGGATCCAGCAATATTCATTTATATATGGGATGAGAACTTAAGTGGATGCTTCCATGCTTGCATAATGTCCAGTGGAACTGTAGGCCAATGTAAACAAGTGCAGCCTTCCATTTCCTTTATACTACATCAACTACCAACCTCAATGGTACGGACAGGCTGGAGAGTTGGGCAGAGGGGAACCTAAGGGCAAGTGTAGGGTCCTGCACCTGGGGAGGAATAACACCATGCATCAGTACTGGTTAGGCGTTCACCTACTGGAAGGCAGCTCCACAGAGAAGAACCTGGAAGTCCTGGTGGACAACAAGTAATCTATGAGCCATCAGTGTGCTCTTGTAGCTAAGAAAGCCAATGGTCTCCTGGGGTGCACAAAGAAGAGTTTGACCAGCAGGTCAAGGGATGTTCTCCTCTCCCTCTACTCTGCCCTGGTAAAGGCACATCTGGAGTACTGTGTCCAGACTTGGGCTCCCCAGTTCAAGAGAGACAGCGAACTACTGGAGAGAGACCAACAGAGGGCTACAAAGATGACTGGGGGACTGAAGCAGCTCTCTTACAAGGAAAGTCTGAAAAACCTGGGGCTGTTTAGCCTGGAGAAGACAGAGAGGATCAATGCTTACAAATATCTAGTGTCAGGAGCATGGGGCTGGTCTTTTTTCAGTGGTGCCCAGCAACAGGACAAGAGGCAACAGACAAATTAGAACACAAGAAGTTCCACCTCAGCATGAGGAAAAACTTTACCATGAGTGTAACAGAGCACTGGAACGGGCTGCTCAGAGAGGCTCTGGAATCTCCTTCTCTGGAGAGATTCAAAACCTGCCTGGACATATTCCTGTGCAAGCTGCTCTAGGTGAACCTGCTTTGGCAGGGGGTTGGACTAGATGATCCCCAGAGGTCCCTTCCAACCCCTACCCATCTGTGATTCTGTATGGCAGCCAGTGCTAAAGATCCCTCATTCCCTATAGGCTGGCAATACAGAGGGGATACCAGTTAGGAGGCTATGATGTCCTTGTGTTAAAATAGTTATACCAGGCCACCAGGCTGACACTTAAACATGTTAACTTCAGCTTGGAAAGCTACCTTCCCACCCCGGCCCCAAGAAGAAAGTTAGCTTTTATTGCTAGTGTTCGGTCAGTTATTTGTAAGGCTGACTGGTAAAGCACACCTAAACAGGAGAGTCTAAAAGCCTTTCTATCCAGTGGGGGGAAGGGTAACATGGTTGACAAACACAAACCACAAAACCCTACACCTACACTGCCCCCTTTCAAAATTTCATCCAAAATGCCAGCTACCCAACTTAGCCATCAAAACTTTATTTCAATTTCACTATCTACAAAACAGGAAAAATTGCTACCTATTTTATGTCTTATTTTATTCTTGAGAACACATCTATTCAGTAAGTAGGGGTAATTTTAAGGTAGAAAACTAAAGTTGTTCTGTATTTGACTAACACATATTGATTATAATTTGATTTAACACTTTTCTAATATGAAGATCTCTGACTGGATCCATGCACAGTGTGTCATCAGCAGCAGAGAAAGAAGAAAGTATTTTTTTGTATTTCTGCTGGACTCATGATACATTTTACAATCAGAAGGCATTAGAAAGCCACTGACCTACCCCAGGAAGAAGCACAGCTGCCCACCTCCTTCCTGTCTGGGGGGGCCCTGAGAATAAAGCTTCACAATTATTTTTTTTTTTTTTAAATGCATAGAAAGCACTCTGCAGGATATACACAAGAGATTAGTTCACCAGAAATCCTTATATGAAATGGCTAATAAAGCAACAGTAATATAATTTTGAAAGCAATACAATTCATGTCTCCTAGTCTTGGGAAACAGTTCAGGCATCCACATGCATCAGGTGAAGAAAAAAAAGCTAACTAGCTTGGTGTTTGGATAGATGAGCTTTATAGTCATTGTCTAATTTCTGCAATTCTCAACTTTGCAGTTAACTTATTTAAACTGCATTGACACAATAGTGGAGAACCCTGCCCAATCCACTGCCAGCCCTCTCACCTACTGAAACCGAAGCCTCCCATTATTTCAGTGGAAACAATTAGGCTATGATGCAGTATTTTTCATGGCATTTAATACCTTCAAAAATGTGTCTCCTGTTACCAGACTCAACAAGATTGAATCACCATTTTATGTAACATACATCTGATAAAAGCTGATCTCTGTACCTTAAAATGTCTTCTGATGGGTTCTGCATTTTCAAAGTGTCCTCTAATATGTCTGTGAGGGTAAGTATCACTTGGTTTTGAAGGATAGTAAGAATTCTAGTAGGAAAACAGACAGTTATTAGCTTCATGTCATTAAATTATTCAAGAAAGCATACAAAATTTCCCAGTTATATTAACAAATATTGCAACTCTTTCAGAAAATCTTGTTGTGTTTGACACAATGACACTGTTTGAAGGGACCAGAGTAACAGGAGCATAGCGCCTGGAGTCTTGGCTGTCAGAAGTGATGGCAGAGCCCACAGAAGCCAAAATGATACAGATCATCCTGCTGGAGTATCACCCCCTTGGAGAGATCTAAGCATGTAACAAGCCAGTTAAGGTTCTCCACCCCCTGCTGCCATAGAACAGATGCCTCAGTTTGCATGAAGCCAGCAGAGCATTCAGGCTGCTGTGGCAGTCAGCCCTGGAGTCAGGGATAAAGGCAACAGGATTAGTGCTCTGGACAGCATATGGTCAGCAGAAGTGAGCCTGCTGCAGAGGAGACACATGCACTGCTACCATACACAGCACTGCAGCAACAAGGCAATGAATGTGTAGCTTGTTACAATGCTCCTTAGACCATTCTACTTTTAACTCTATTACAGCAGAGCATTTTGAAGATGACTTGCCTGCCACAGAAACAATTTTGAAAGCAAGTGGCACAGACAAATGGCACTGAAAGTGTTGTGTCAACATGCTGAACAGCTGCAGTCAGACTGACACGGTTGACTAAAACAGAACACTCCCTTCAGCCACTGTTCTACCTGTGTATTTTGGCCCTTTTCCAGTTTTTCCCACGACAGCTACCTCAAGAGGATGCACTCAGCTAAAATATTGTTCTCTTCTATCATTGCATATGATTATAACTATGCACAGAAGGATTACAGACTAGCATACACTATGTTAAAGTCATCTAATGCCAACATAATGGACTTAAACTCTCACAAGCAAATTTATTCAAGAATAGACCATTAAAAAAACAATCACAAGTGTTCAAATGCTGCTAAACTGTTTTTTTTTTTCAAAGTAAATTTTAACAGCTTCAAATAAATTTTAGAAAGAGGCTAAGAAGAGAATTCTCCTTAAATATTTCATATATACTAACATCTAATAATGACTGCAAATGCATGCTTTGCATGCTGTTTACAAAATTTCTGTTCTCTAACAAAGTACCAAGACTCTCCAACAGCAGAAACACTTTAGGATACACTTTCTAGTACTGTTACTAAGTGGGGAGAAGGGCAGGGGGAGGCTGCAAATGCAAGAGTAGTGTTAGAGTCCAAGTTAAATTTTAACTGGGATTAAAGCTAGCTTTTTTTTTTGAGAATATATTTTTGCCTACAAGTCAATTATTTAGCTTCTTAAAATGCCTTGACAAGAGAGGATTCTACAAAGAATGAAAACAGAGGAAGATTTTGTGAAGCAAGCTCAAGTTAGTTTGACTAACATCAAAGCAGTCAAATGGCTTTCCCAAGAAAAAAAATGTATGGAAAATTACGTAGACATAGGGAAAAGCATGTCAGGAAGTTCCCAGCTTCCTTCTGATTCTAAGAATATGAAGATACTCCATGAAAGCAAATTAATTTTCTCCATGCAACACAATTAAATCAGGAACTGCCCTGTTGAAGTACACTCCTTAAAGCTGAGAATTCAGCAAGATAAAAAAAAAAAATTCAGGAAAATTTCCTGTCATAGTTACAAATAAGCCTTTGGGAGTTAAGAGAAAGCTTCTCTCAACTAACTGTGGATACACCCCTCCCCATGCCCACCTCCCTCGAGATTCAAGTACATTCATAGAAACAAACATTAGAACTGCTGAAAGCAAAGACACAGCAATCTACTCTTCTGGAATTTCTTAAACCAGAGGTTTTAAAAGGGGGGGGGTAGAAGGTGGTAGAAGGTGGGGGAAGGACGTATACTTTTTCTGATCTGCTCTTTAGCTGTCCTCATTTTGTCAACAGGATACAAGGCTAGATGGACACTTCTTACAATTAAGGCTACATAGACAGTTGCATCTTGCAGACACAAGTTCTCAAGTTAAAGCTCAACCCCCAGTTACTGAATTTTAACACAAGAAAAACTCCCCTTTTGCTGGCCTTCTGTAAAGGTGCTCATACCTTGCGCTGAAAAGTTCACATTGGTTACCCAAGGGATACCAAATGTAGGCCAACCAAGTCAACAACGTTCCCATATTTATTTTTAGCCCAAATTACTAATACTGTCCATTTAACAAGAGAACAAACAGTGGTGTTAGCACCATGTTTTGAGAGTTTACTGTAAGGATATTTTAATATGACCAAATAATCTGTTTTAATATTAGGCAACATCCTAGCATCAAATATGATCTACTTATCAGGCTTTCAGTTTTCAATCATCCACCTTTTACTAATGCTGACGCACACTGCTCCCCAAGCAACACTGATAAAAACCACCACGAAATTTTACTAACAAAGACAAAAATGTGCAAATGTTTATCCAATTTTAAATTCTGTGCTACAATTTAAGATGCAGCAGTGGTTTTCCTGTCACATGCTTTTTTTTTTTTAAATTATTTTTGCTGTAGTTTCTGAGCCTTGGCACCGTTATGCTTGCCATTTGAAACCTGGCTCTCTGATTTACTCTTCTCTCAATATATATACCCGTATCAAGAGCAAACCAGCCTGAGGAGTGCTGAAGATTGGAGTTTTTGGTTTGGATTTTCCAGGGTTTGCTTTTGAAATAGTTTAGGAGAGTTCCACTTGCAATGTCTACTGCATACTTTTTTCCATCTGCTTTCCCACATCTTTACAATTTTGCCAATGCAATATGCTATTGCTACATGTCTTCTGCAGCATAAAACAGCTTCCCACAAGAACAGGACAGCTCTGCTTGTACTGTGGAACCAACTGAACCAATATCTACCCAAGTACCTGTAAGACCAAGGAAAACAAAATTTACTTTCATATTCAACAATTATTCTCAGCTCTAGCTCATGTTTCAAACTCTTCCTCGTTTTTTCCATGTATTGCTGTGCCACTAATATATCCTTCATTTTTGGGTGTTTCCTATTTAAAAAGGTTTGGTCAACCCAGCATCAATGTTCTTGTGACCCATCAGACCACTTCTTAAATCCAAAGCATTGTTCTTCAAACACTGCCGTTTAGTTGTGGTCCTTACACTTCTCAAGGTGCTTGAGTTCAGGTGAGAACACTGCCAACTATTCTCATACAAGAATGGCAAACTCCAAACATTTGTTCTCTTGCAGAAAGCAGCTACAAGTGGCCTTTACCTCCATTCACTGTTTTTATTAAGGTTGCTTTCAACTCTACTAACATTACATTTAGTAGTCCTGAGGAGAAAGACTTGAGGGTGCTGGTTGGAGCCAGCAAGGCCCAAGTACAGCCCAGAAGGGCAGAAAAATGCAACCTGGGCTGCATCAAAAGCAGTGTGGCCAGCAGGTCAAGAGAGGTGATTCTCCCCCTCAATTCCACTCTCGTGAGACCACCTGAAGTACTGTATCCAGCTCTAGAATCCCCAACACAAGAAGGACATGGACCTGCTGGAGTGGGTCCAGAGGGCCATGAAGATGATCGGAGAGCTGGAACACCTCTCCTACAAAGACAGAGAGTTGGGGTCATTCAGCCTGAAGAAGAGAAGGCTGTGGGAAAACTTTGTAGTGGCCTTCCAGTAACTGAAGGACACCTACAAGAAAGCTGGGGAGGGACTTTTACAACGGCTTATAGTTACAAGACGAGGAATAATGGGTTCAAACTGGAAGACAGTAGATTTAGATCAGTGAAGAACTTCCTCCTAACCCCTATGAGGGCGGTGAGACACTGGAACAGGTTGCCCAGGGAAGCTGTGGATGCTCCATCTTCAACAATGGAGGTGTTCAAGACCAGGCTGGACAGGGCGTTGCACAACCTGGGCTAGTGGGAGGTCCCTTCCAACTCAAACCATTCTACGATTCCATGATACATTGCCAAACAAAGCAGTAGTAGATACAGTCATGGCAGGTCTGAAGTAATTACAAAGAGTCTACTAAATACAGAAGTGACATGTGGCTGAAATTAGTTGGCTGCTTGGATGCTACTCCACTTAATTCCCACAACAAATACCAGGGCAGCGCTAGCAGCTTACAGGCATGGAGACTGAGCCTGAGCACCAAGATAAGCTCCTCTCCAACTGCAGCCACTTCTGAAGAACTCCTTCAAGGGAAGCCACATCGAGCCCCATATATTCTCACACAATACATCTACATGCCACCGGAAGTGCCACACTACTGGAGCAGCCTTATTCAGCTGAATTCTTTGCACTGCCTCATATCAGGTTAGCTGTATTAGTTACCTGCTCTGCTGAGGAAAATGCTACTCTTTCTGCATTACTGTACACATTGAGCATTAGACGTACACGACAAACATGAGAAGACAAGGGCAGCAAAATAAGAATCAAAAGGCAAAACAGAAACACAAAACCAGAAGGAGCTGTAACTAAGGAGTGCCAATTAACGTATTGTGGAAACACTTGCAAAAAAATCCGTAAGCCCTTCCAGAAGTCAGTGAGCAGATTAATTCTATTTTTACTGACAAATATGGATGGCAAACTAAAGTATCTTATCTTCCCACTTGTCTGCAAATCAGCTTTGCATGGCTGACTTTGTGAAGAGTCAGTTCCTTCAAGATGCCTTGCATTTGTAATGCCCACGCTTTCACAGCTATCGTTGTTCTGAATGGATCACTCCTCACTGAGGTGCAGGACTTTCTAAAAACGTATGTTTGCAGTTTGCTATTAGATATCATAAAGCAATTGTCCTAAATTTTCAGCACAATACAACAATAACTGAGTTTTTGCTTCAAACTCACTCTCCTTTTATTTGCAGTTACTATATTACTATAGTGGATTGACCTTGGACAGATGCCAGGTGCCCACCAAGCTGCTCTATCACTCCCCTCCTCAGCAGGATGGGCTGGAGGGAGAACAGATAGAGAAAAAACCACCTTGGCAGCCTCAATGCTGAGTGAGGACTGCTCAGCAGTAGCCAAAACACCAGTGTGTCATCAACACCTTTCTAGCTGCCA